TATATATATATATATATATATATATATATATAGTGTGTGTGTGTGCCGTGTGTGCGTGAGTGCATGCGTGCGTGCGTCCGTACGCGCGCGTGTGGGTGTTACATAAACCATACCAGTAATCTCTTAAGGACAAGATTCACGACTACATCGTTGCGTGTAAATTAATTGAGCAACTAAATCAATACTTACACGCGTAAATGGCGATATATGACTGGAAGTCGAGTCCGATATAATAAAAACCAGAAGACTATAAGTGTTAGTAGCAGTCAATATTGGCCTATATATATATATATATAACACCGCAACCACGCCTACGTTGTCGCTATGCAACTGGGTTTCCCTACTTGCTGTACAGGCGAAACCAGTGCTACATTTACAGTGAGATTGCTACTATACTACTGCTGCTTGCTACTATTATAAATCATACTACTACTGCTACTTGCTACTACTACTACTACTACTACTACTACTACTACTACTACTACTACTACTACTACTACTAATAATAATAATAATAATACTAATACTACTACTGCTATCATTACCATTACCATCAAGTACTACTACCATCAAGTATCAAGTATCACGTATTACCATTACTAGCAACAGAGCTTCTACTCCAATTTAGCTTAATTTTCATGCCGTTCATTCGCCGTTAAATTTCTCCTGCCGCGTATTCGTGCAATTCGTCAATTAACTTGGTTCGCGGCAATAATACTCCGACTTCCATTACGCGTGGCCGGTATGAATTTATCTAAGCCGGACTGCGGCTATATGAGTGACAGTTACCCACTTATGACGGGCGACCGGGACCACTCTATCGCCACCGTGTCGGCGTCAATAAACACATCTCGTCTGTCGATTCGTGTGTCGATCGGCCTGACATCTCCGCAGCGAATGCCTCTATCACATTTCGCGATGAGAATGAAAGCAGAGGTTGCTAATGGTAATCGGGAGGTTACGAAAAGTCGAGCGAGTGACCGACATTAATAGAACGCGTGCGAATAGATAGATGGGAAAATGGATCGTATTTATCGCTGACTAGTCGCTGGCTTAATTCGTTTGAAAGCATCACTGTTAGTCAGCTATTTATCTGCACTGATTTTTGACTTTAGCGTAAAGTTGGGGCTGCGATGTGCATTGCTAGCAACCATATGTATCTCTATCTTTTCCCACACTAGCACCTGTATAGCTATGAGTGCCTTTTGCGCGATCTTGCTCCCTCCCTTTTGCCCCTCTTCTCTGTATTTATTTCTCGCTAGTTCTTTTTGGTTCCACAACTGTCTCTTTTTTCTCTCTCGTCTCTACAGGTAGTCTGACGACACTCCACTATGACATTGCGAACCCACCTTAGTCTGGTTGTGTTGTTGCTGCATGCTCTCTTTCTCACCACCTTTCTCTCTCTCTCTCTCTCTCTCTCTCTCTCTCTCTTTCTCTCGCTCACTCGCTCGCAATCACTTTCTCTCCCTCGCCCGCTCTCTCTCTCCCGCAATCTCTTTTTCTCGCGCGCTCTCCGTCTACCGCTTCTCTCTATATACCCTTCTTTCTATCCACGCCTCTCTCGCTCTCTGTCTTTCTATCTCTTTTGCTCTCTCGTTTCTGCACGCAGGCTAACAACACTTCAGTGCAGTAATGCGCACTTACCTCAAGCTGGTAGAATTAGGTATGGTTGTCTGATTGCAGCTCACTGCTGTTGCGACCGCCGCCTGTAAAACTTTCTTTCCTTTGCTTTACTCAGTTTGTCGTCGTTCTTGATGTCGATAGCTCTCTTGCTCTTGTCGCTGTTCTCTCTTCCTCTCTCGCTTGTTACTGACTCACTCTGTTCCGAGTTCGCACTCTCGTCTCTTCTCTACTCGCTCGAGAGCTGTTGCGATGTCCTTGTTGCCGCTGATGTCGCTAAACTGAGTGTGCCTGCATAGGTGTCGGAGGCTGAGGGCTGATGTTTTGCGCACGGGTGACGCCCGCGCCACCACGCGGCGGCGCATGCATGCTGGCGTCACGCCGCGCGCCATGGCAACGCGTCTCGAATCGGTTCGCCTACGAGACTCGGCCGCGTGACTCCCACGCGTACTGCTGCGAACGGCCCCGCCGCCTTGCAATTACGGCCCGGAAATCCATTCGTTCTGCGGGGACGAGCGGTTGTTTTTTCCTGCCCTATAGGCCCATGTCTTCCGCATGTATGCGTCGGCGAAATGGCCCCATTGAGTGGACTAACAGAATCGCTCGGGTCGAATGGCTGCTACTTATAGGCTACGTGGTGGTTAATGGGCATAAAAATTGCTTGTAAACAAACACATTTAGTTGCCATGACTGCACGAGTAACGCGATGTTGATATCGAGGCAGATGAGGCATTAACACGATTCGCACGCATACAACAGCCTACATACGTCACAAATCGTGAATATTTGAGAGGGTATAGGATTTGATGCCTTGGAGGATTTGTTGATGCGGTTACTACGGTCATATGTGCGCAGTTTACTATGATGATCGATGATTCCAATAAATAATTATGGCGAGCATCGTCCACACACCTTTACGATCACTCGACGACGACGTGGTATAAATATATACCATAGCTCTTTCGCTCGAGCACTCACATCTCTTGTTAACGCAGCCCGTAATAGTATATTTTTATTTTCTCGGATATGTTTAAATTCTGTTCATGCAACGTCAGTGACAACCAACACAACAACGTTATGAGCTGCTTTCGAAAGAAATCGAAAGCAATGTTTGAGGGGCTATATAGAAGTCAGTTTTAGTAAACACACGCAGTTACAGAAGTAATAAACATAGGATATATATCAGAAGTACATACTAAATGTACGTCAACTACTTTTACTACGTTTTTATTGGGATTCCCCGTCAATTTCCGGCATCAGTGCAACAATAAATGTATACTCTCGTGGCCTATTCTGTGACTTTCGCCCAGCTTGCGAATATTGCCGAAGAGTGTCGCCGGGATATGTTTCGTTATCCTATAGTAAACATTTGCATTGTTGCTTAAACCATCGGTTAGGCATCGCAGGTAAAGCGGGTTACACGACCAGAGAATTCGAGTTCCCATGGTATGAATATGATTGCTCATATATCATCTAATGCAGAGCTGAGCGAAGTCGATGCAAGAGCGGCGGCAAGAACACGTCGCAGCAGCAATAGGAAACGTGTTTTTGAGCGAGACAGAGATTTCATTAGGTCCGTGATCGAAATCTCCGGTTAGGAAACTCGGAAAATGCAGGAAATCTTACTACACACAAACTCATACAATATTATATTCTAAAAACAGTGTTCCTGATGACCATCGTGAAGAGGAACTTGATATTTAGCTGCCTATCAACGCTGTAACGAAGATGCAAGTGCATCAGCGATGACAAAGCATGTGAGGTAATAGTGATTAGTACGCGGTCAGGTAGTCAATATCGTTGCACATGTTCAACCTACAATGTTGGTCAGTGCCGCCTGAAACCTGCATCCATAGCTTAGCGAAACTATAGAAAAGGCGCACACCGGCTGAAAGCAGGAGAACAAGTTTCCAGTTCACAGAAAATGCTGCTATATGCTCCTGTGATTGTTTACACTGTATTGCGCAACCTAGATTCAGACACGTATTTAAACAATTAAAGCAGATCTTCCTAATTGGATTTCGTGCGTAATTTTGTGGTGACGCGAATAAGTATGTTATCTTCATAGTTAAATGACCCCGGTAACCGTATAGCAAATTAGTTCTGTTAAATGACGCATTTAATTCACAATGACATATTGCGTATCGCTAACCGAAATACACATCGCAAATGTAATGATTCGCCGACGAAACTTGCCATTCCAATTCTATGCATCTATGATTAGGCTAACTTGCATTGAAATAGATTTACACATAGCATTTTCACTAGAATTTTGGATGCGTTGCTAGCGCCACCGCTGGCTGATTGTAATAGATTCCGTCGTAATATAAGAATAATATAATTAGTATACAAGCACGTGTGTAGACGTTCTACGTTACAAAGTAGAATCGATTATACTTCGTATAATAATTCACGGAATCACGTGTAATCCAGGTGTGTATACCTAACGTATGCCACCGTGTGCGCGTGTGTGTGTGTGCGCTCGTGTGTGTGTGCGTGCGTGTGTATGTGAGTCTATATGTACATTATCAATGCCCTTGACATTATGCATAGGTCGGTCTCTGGGAGAAAAAGGAACACAATATATATAACCGACTTTGCAAATGCCAAAGCCATGCTACTCCCAGATGTACCAAGATAACACAAAATCCAGATGTACCGACGCACGTCCAATTTATTAAACTCGAGATTCCCGTGTTATTATGTTTGTGAGCTTGTTATCGAGGAAGAAAATTTTGGATTTTTTGATTACACACAATCATTCCACCCGCGTAAAATTAACCCACGCATCGTTTGAGCACACGCCTGTCGTGCCGCGTAATATATAATACTTAAAGACACGACGGCCAATAAAATGTAAAGTGAGAACAAGTTATATAGAATAATACATAATATAAAGAAATATATATTGGTGACGTGAAATAGGCTTCGTATTAAGAATATATCGCTGATGCAGTTGCAGTGATACGCGTAGGTGAACGCGCTATCACGATGACTGTACTAAAATATATATATATATATATTGGCTAAGTCTGGCCGTGTATTGCGCACGCTGCAGTGAAAAACGTGAAATATGGTAAAAATTTCAAATAAAGGGGAAATAAATTTCCTTCCTGCATGTCGCCATTGTATTGAACATACATAATTGATAAGTTATATTAAGAGTTTATTTTTCGGTGTTTTGTTGGTTGTAATGGCGGCACACCGGCGCATTCTTAACCGAGTTATGTTTATATCGCAGATGTGACGATAGTCGCACTAGATGAAGTAACCTCTAATGCGGGCATTCCTGAGTAGGCTTCTGTACGACCCTCCCCCCCCCATATACTAGTCAGCTAGCAATTCCGTTAGCAATCAATTACATCGAATATAAAAAAACGAGTAATATTTATATTGATATTGATTTTCATTTCCTTACATTGCATCAGTGCTCACACCAATGAGACGCTACAATATTATTAAGAGCGTATTAAGAAGGAGAGCGTACAACGGTGAAATACTGAAACCATGTTGCAGTATTAGGCTAATTAAGAAACTTTGCCCGTTTTATTTTGGCGATTCTTTGCGGTATTATTGATCAGCTGTCCTACCTAGCTAATATAAAACAAACCGCTTGTCCTTTCGGTGCACCTACGCTGAGATAGTGAGCGGTGAAAATCTGGTATTTTTGTCGAAAACCGACTCGAGATCCCGGTCGGATGCGACCCTCTCTCGCTTTGAGATAGCTTCGGGAAACCTCGCGTGTTTCCGTCAATGATTGACAAATGGAAGGAATGACGTCTATTATTGATTGTCATAGTGATGACCCCACCTGTGCCCACCTCACGCTGGTTGTAGTAATCTCTGTAGTACTGACGTAATGAGTCAGCGCTACCATTGCGTTACACAGCGGCGACCGGAAGCAATACACTGACCACAAAGCGAGAGACAGTCGCAGTGAACACTGATCTCGAGTCGGTTTTCGGCGAAAATACCAGATTTTCAACGCTCATTATCTCAGCGTAGGAACAGCGTAGGAACAAGCGGTTTGTTTTATATTAGTAAGGTAGGACAGCTGATTAATACTACCGCAAAGAATTGTCAAAATAAAACGGGCAAAGTTTTTTAATTCGACTAATACTGCAACATGGTTTCAGCATTTCACCGTTGTACGCTCTCCTTCTTAATACGCTCTTGATATTATTGATCAGTATGCCACAAATGACACATGGTTTCGTTGAGCTTTAGTTGCGACTGTTGTTATTGTTGTTGTTGTCGTTGTTGCTGTAGTAGTTGTTGTTTCCGTTGTTGTTGTTGTTGTTGTTGTTGTTGTTATTGTTGTTGTTGTTGTTATTGTTGTTGTTGATAATGGCGGTGGTGGTGGTGATCGTGATAATGAAAGTGATGTTGCTGATGATGGAAATGATGATAATGATGATGATGATGATGATGATGATGCTGATGATGATGATAATAGTAATGATGCTGATGATAATGGCGATGATGATCATGATTATGATGAATATACCAATAAACAACGCTGTCGCTGCTGCGATCACATCTAAATCAACTGATGTCATCTCTCGAAGTGATTGCACATTGAAGCCAATAGATAGCGACCAGTATGTCGTTATTGTAGATAATACGAAGTTAATAGTAAGGTGTATGTTCGATAATATTCGCTTCGCCTGGCGTACAGGGCCATAGCGGGATGACGTAACTGCGTACGAGTATGAAACAAACAAGCTAGTTTAAATAGACTCTTATCTGCGTGGATGTTTGTGCATTATTCATCCATTACAAACAGCGTCGAAATTCGTTGTGTGCTGTAGTCACCCGAGCTGTGAAATTCTAACATCCATCGCAAATAATCTGAGACTAGGGCTGGGAAAGGGCGCGGCAAGTAAACAATGGTCACACAAAGCCGGCGAGTTTGTGTAGCACACGAATCAACCATTTCTTCTCGCGGGCACGAGCGAATTTCTCGTTGATTCGCTTGGTGAGCGTCGTTAATCGGGGCCCACGCTAACTGGATGTTTGGCTAATTATTGATTGGCTGCTTCGCGCAGGTCGCGCGTGGGAAGGCTCGTTGTCAGGTAGGTGCGCTATGTTGCACTAACAATCAGGCAAGAGGCGATATAGTGCCTCTCGGAAATGTCACTGTCATGAATCATTGATACTTTCCAAACACCGGCAATTATAGAGGACGCTCTCATTTTTTACGCTAACGTTCTGGGGGCGAAAACAAGGATATATATGTGTGTGTGTGTGTGTGTGTGTGTGTGTGTGTG